GCCTCCGCCTCCGCCTCCGCCTCCTCCTCCCACATCCGCAGCTCGGCATCCTCATCCTCCTCGGCCGCCGCAGCAGCCGCAGCAGCAGCCACTCCACAGCCGAGGAGGAAGCGCACAGACGCAGAGCCCGCCATGGTCACTCCGCGTCCCAAACCCTCGATCCGCAATCGCCCCTCCGACCTGCGCTCCATGCACTCCCTCGCAGACATCTCCAGGCTCACCACCGCCTCCGACGACGCCTCCCGCCTCCTCGACGTCGAGCCCATCAAGGCCTATCTCCGCATCCGCCCTCCGCCCGCAGAGGCCACTGCCCGCCCGTACATCGAGGTCGTCAGCGATACCGAAATCCTCATGCATCCCCCTGCACAGCACGCATACGCAACTGGCATCCCCGCCAGCAGATCCCGCACCACCAGCATCGCTCCCCCGACCAAATACATCTTTTCCAAAGTCTTTGGCACACAGCACGACCTGCCTTCCGCCGCACAGCAGGATCAGTCCCAGGCCGCCTTCTTCAAGCACACCACTCTCCCGCTCGTAAACGCCCTCCTCCAGGGTGAGAGCGGCCTCATGTTCACCTACGGCGTCACAAACTCCGGAAAGAGTCACACCGTCATGGGCAACACCTCCCCCGGCGGCGCAGGCATCCTCCCGCGCGCCCTCGACGTCATCTTCAACTCCATCAACGGCCTAGAAAGCTCCGCCAGCATCGAACCCTTTGGTGCTTCCGGTGTCAGGCGCCTCGAAAAGCGTACCGCACACCCAGACGCTTCCCCCACCCTCGGCGTCAACCCTTTCATGATCCCCAGCGTATCCCGCAGGCTCCTCGCCGAAACGCCTGCCCGATCCGCTCGTCCTACGAAGCTCATCGAGCACGACGACACCAAGCTCACCGTCGATCGCAACTTGCGCTACAGCGTCTTCGCCAGCTACGTAGAGGTCTACAACGAAAAACTCTTTGACCTCCTCGACGTATCCCCCGGCGCCACCATCGGTCGCTCCGAATCCGTCCGCGGCTCCAACTGGAGCCTCGCCAACATGGCCAACGCCGCCCCCACCTCCGTCCCCTCCAGCGCAAGCAGCATCACCCTCAACAGGAAACCCCTCAGCCTCAAGAGGGACCAGGAAAGCGGCGCCAAGTACGTAGACGGCCTGCGCGAGATCAAGATCAACTCGGCCGACGACGCTCGCGACCTCCTCCATCGCGGCCAAGAGAACCGCGCCGTCTTCGGCACCATGGCCAACCGCGCCAGCTCCCGATCCCACGGCATCTTCACCATCAAGCTCGTCCGTCACCACGGCGGCCTCGCAAACCTCTCCGACGACGATCTCGACTCCTTCTCCACCGCACGCCTCAGCATCGTAGACCTCGCAGGCAGCGAACGCGTCGCAAACACCGGCCTCTCCGGCGGTGACCGTCTCAAGGAAGCGGGCAACATCAACAAATCCCTCATGTGCCTGGGACAGTGCCTCGACACGCTGCGCAAGAACCAGATCCGCATCACCGGCACCACCGAAGGCGGCCAGGCACAGACCGTCAAGCGCCGCCTCAGCATCGTCCCCTTCCGCCACTCCAAGCTCACCGAACTCTTCCAGAGCTTCTTTGTCGGCGAGGGGAAAGCCGTCATGATCGTCAACGCAAACCCCTACGACACCGGCTTCGAGGAGAATGCGCACGTCATGCGCTTCAGTGCCATCGCAAAGGACGTCGCCGTCGCCCGCCCCACCGCTCCCGTCACAAAGATGCTGCCCCCTCTTCCGACGCACAAGGAGCAGAGCACCCCTGCCTCGCGCGCCCTCTCCAAGTCCAAGTCCAGCGTCGAACTCGCCTCCTCCGACGTCGAGACCAGCGCGAGCGCAGACGTCACCATCATCGAGGACGACGAAGACGCCGATGACGATGACGAGCACGACCCTTTTGTCGACATGCTCGTCGAAAAGCACGAAGAGCTTCGCCAAAAGCTCTACGCCGCCGAGCTCCGATGCGCCACCATCGAAGCAGAAGTCCGCAAGGAGATGGTCGATCAGATGGAGCAGAGGCTGCTCGAGATGGAAGACTTTTACAACCGTCGCATGATCAACGATGCAGAGGAGAACGCCCAGTTCATGAACCGCAAGATCGACCTTCTCGTCAGCACCAATGCGCGCAACGAGCCCGATCTCATAGACGACAGCGACGCCGACCAGTCCGAATACACCGACGACGACAGCGAGTCTGGCCACGAGGAAGAGGCCGAAGTCGAAGGCACCCTGGCCGCATCCAAGCCATCCGCTGTCGATCACAGCATGAGCGAGATCAGCGGAGGCGAAAGCGTCTTTGACGATGCTACCGAGGGCGAAATCTCGCGCTCGCTACACGTCGACGACGACGACGACGACGACGAGGATGCGTCGGACAATGAAGAATCGGCCATTCTCAGGCCAGGAAGGCAGACTCGCGCCGCACTCGCAAATTCTGCGATCAGCATCTCGTCCGACGATTCCATGCCCGACGCAGACAACGACGACGCCGACCTCAGCCAAGCCAGTGACGAAGACGAGCACATGTCCTCGGATGGCAGCGATGCAGAGGACGAAGAAAGCGTCGATCTGTCCGCAGCCCAAGACTCAGAAGAGTCAGACAGTGACGCCGACGACCTCGTCGTTCGTTCTCCACCAGAGCAGGGCGTGCGAATGACCGAAGTTTACGTCGAGATTCCTGACGCCAGGGACGAGTCGATGCACAGCTCGTCTGCAGCCGCCGAGTCCTCCGACTCGTCCTTTGACCTCGATGCCGAATCGGAGAGCGAAGAAGAGGCGCCTCGGCCACCTCCTCGCAGAAAGTCCGGACGTCCCAGCACCGTCAACTCGGCCCGCAGCAGCACCACCACCACCAACACGGCGCGAGGTCGACGCTCGTCCAACAAGTCGCGCATCGCCTCGCGCGACGCATCCATCCTGGTCGAGGCGAGCGCTCTCACCGATCTCAGCGATGCAAGCATGGCCGTCGAAGAACGCGTCACGCCCAAGAAGAAGCGCAAGTTGCGCAACAAGGCCGCCATGCAGGAGGACGACTATGTCGAACAGATCGGCGACTCGAGCCTTGTCGAGGCCGTCTTCCAGAACGCATCCAGCAACAGAGCCTCCCGCAGCTTCTCCAGCAGAAAGTCCGGACGTTGAAAAAACGTACTCCTGCAGTTTCCCTAGTCTTCCTGATAAACCGCATCCTGTCCAGGTGACAGAGTTCACAGAGTTGCATTCTCGCAGTCTTGTTTCCAAAATTGTCTGCAGCGGCATCATCGCAGTGTGCGACGGGCCCGATGTCTGTGTTGATGGTTGTGTGATCTTGGCTTTGTTGCTGTGCAGACGGCTGCCGTTAACGCGAGCTGAGGTTTGGAAAGAGCAAACTCGTGGCTCATGACTTGAGCCAGCCGCAGCATGTGTAAGGCTCGCGGCTATTTGAAGAAAGCTCGAAAGCTGTCTGACAGAGCATGATTCTGTGAAACGTGCAGAAAAGGAGCTCCGTATGACCGCGGATCAGGTCCTCGAGAGTACAAGCCAGCCGCCTCCTCCTTCACTCCTAAGCACGCATCCATTTGCGCCCAGCCAGCGCTCTTGGGCGAAGAAATGAAGATGATGGACGCAACGGCTGAGCCCAAGCTCACGCATTAAGGAAAGAAAAACCCCCTCCGATGCATGTATGATGCCCACGAAGCTTCATGTCGCAGGCACAAGCAGCACAATGCAAGTACAGTATGGGAAGAGGCAAAATGAGCACGGCAAGGCCCACACAGCGCAATGAGCGGAAGCGTAAGCCTACTTGTGTGGCGGAAGCGCAGAGCATTGGCACAACTGATGTGCAGTGCGACACCAGCGTTCAGGCACTTGGCTTAGTGGGTATCTGCAAGCGCGCCGCATTAGAACGGGGCACAGGCAGACGGGCTTATGATAGGACAAGAGAGATCAGACTCCCTGTGGCGAAGACGCGCTCTTGTGCATCGATAAAGAGACCCGTGGAGCGAGCAGTTCCTCGAGCAGAAAGCAACATCCCAAGAAACCCGCCGCCAGCATGACCGCCCAGCCTGGAGCCGCCCCCGACCCCGACAAAGGGAGCGTTATAGCCATGACTCCAGCTGCAGGGCAAGTTGAGCATCCCGGACAGGCGGGATTCCAACTCCAGTATTGAGCCGCGACCTCAATATATGCAGCTCCTACACTCCAGCCTGTCATCGAATAAGGCCGCACCACTCCCGCCAATCAACACGCCGCTGGCGCACGCAAAGAAACCTCAGCTCGATGTTAAGCGCGAGGGGTCTGGGCATCTCTGGTGAGCTGAGTGGTAGCGGTGAGAAGGCCTTGGGCAGAAGAACCGGCGTGGGGCCCTGTGTGTCTCTAGTAGGCTGGTTGCCAGGTCTGGGGAGGTTGTCTGGGCTCAGTGGTGAACGTAGCAAGGTCTGGGATTCCGATCAACAA